TTTTGGCAACGCCACATTGTCAAGGTCACTGTAGCTTCATTTCAAGTCTTGAAATCAGGTAATGCAAGTCCTCCAACTTTCTCCTTTTTCCAGTTGTTTTGGCTATTCTTGTTTCTTTGCCTTTCTATCTAATTTTACAATCAGCGTGTTGGTTTCCCCAGAAAACCTTGCTCGGATTTTCGTTTGACTTATTTGAATATACAAAGCAATTTAGGGAGAATTAACATTTAACAATATTGAGTGAACTTGGTTTCTCTCTCCACTTAGGTCTTTGATATTTTTTATCAGTGTTTTGTAGTTTTCTGCATATAGATTTTAGGTTTTGTACATATATTATTAATTTATACCTAAGTATTTCATGTTTTTTGCTCAGCGCTGTCTTTTAAAAATGCAAATTGGATCATGTTGTTTCCCCTGTTTTAAACCTTTAGTGGCTTCCCGCTGCTCTTAGGACAAACTCTATAATCTTTAAAAGCCTAAAAGGGCCTTTGTGACCTGACCCCTGCTATCCTTTTCAGCCTGATTTTACACCATTCTTCTGCTGCTCAGAATGTTCCCATCTCAGACCAGCAGGAAATAGTTTTATCAACTAAGGGATATAGCTCTTAGAATATCTGAAGGAATAAATAAACGTTTTCAAACAAATACTTGAAAAATATATTTTAACATTATTGAAAAGAGCTGTTCGGTGACTTCCAGCAAAGAATGAACTTAGATTTTGGCAGGGTTGTTGGGCTCTCTGGAATTCTTTCGGTCTGTATTTCTTCCATTGAGGCAGAGCGCTTTATGAGTATTGTTTACAAGGGACTTAGCTTTGTATGTATTAGCTAGAGAAAATATTCTTTCCTTTCTTATAAATGTGCTGGAACTTGGCGAAAAAGTGGGTTTCTGACCAAACCAAGGGTCCTGTCACTGTCATTGTATATGAATGAAGTTAAAGTCTTTAGCTATTAAAATAGTTCTTACACATATGTGCCTACTGCCAACTTTATTATAATATCAAAAGTAGAAATGTAAGACTGTAGTGATGGTTGTGGGAAGGTCCGTAGTTATGTGCCTACAGTAAGGGAGAACTGTAAGATTCATTTTTTTTTACATAAACTTTAAGACCAGCACATTTTTTTCATTTCCTTTAATGAGGTACATACAATACAATGCACAAATCTTAATGTGTAGCTCAGTGAATTCTGCATGTATACCATTACTCAGATGTAACCATTACACAGATCAAGATATCAAACATTCTCACTAATTATCTTTTACCTAAGAACCAGCACATTTAATCAACCGATGTTTATTCAGCTCCTTATACTAGACATATAGAGAAGAAAAGGAATAGCCCAGGCCTTAAGAAGCTCAAAAACTAGTGAGGAAACAATTAAAAATGAAAGTGTTTGTTCATGGAGTATGTCTGAGTGGCTTTGATAGTACCAAGGACAAATAGTAGCCCAGTGGAATTTAGAATGTAATAAGATTAGTTGATGTTCAAGACATAAGGCTAGAAGGGAGGCGGGGACCATATCGTGAAAACCCAAGGGGCTTATATTCCATCCTATTACTCAGAGGTTCCACCACTTCAATGCACATAAAATTACCTGGAGAACTTGTTTAAAAATCAGATTCCTGGATTGACAAGGCAGGGCCAAGGTAGCTCCCCAGGTGGTTCTTACTTGGCTGGCAGCCCCTAATCTGCACACTGACATTCGGAAGCCATTGCGTCAGGTAAGACTGAGCCACAGAACAGTTAAGCTAGCTGATAACATGATCGTATTAACATTCTTAGCATGTCAAAACTGATAGTAGTATAGAACATTGTAATCACCTGAAAATCTCACTAAAATGCAAAGTATGGGGGTGCACGTAAGGTAGTACATTTCTCAAAAGTTCCCAGATGAGACTGATACTTCTCTGAGGACCACATTTTGAGTGACAGCAGTAGGGAGGCTGGATTGGGATAGGGTGAGACTGCAGGCAGGAAGACCAGTTAACAGCCTATTGCAGGAATCTAGGCAAAAGATGGTGAGTATCTGAACTACTAGCAGTGTCTGGTAATGGCAAGAAAAAGTTCCAACGAAATGTAATAGATAAAATTGGCAAGACTAATTTAGAGAATTCATAGTATGTAGAGTTAGAAGTGAGGAGAGGTGTCAAGAATGATCTAAAGGTTGACGCTTAGCTGTCTTGGTGGATGATAGTGACATTAACTGAATAGGGTAAAGACAGAGGAAGAAGGTGGCCTGAGGGGTAGAGGAAAACAGGTTAGAGTAGAAAAGTTTCTTAGATTTGAGAAAAGGGGTAGCCAGAAGATTAGTTTCAAATGAGTTTGAGGAGTTTGTGAGATATACAAAATTTTAAAAGGGTGGATAGAAAAAGAGGGACCCACAACAGACTAGGAAGTGTCAAATAACAGAAAGTCGGCAGATAACAGAAAGAACAGTTTCAAAGGCATTTCCAAAAGAGGAGAGTCACAGTATCATCGCCATAGAAACATCAAGCAGATTATATATGGTTCAATGACAGTGCATAAAATCATGATTAAAAATGAACTTCCCAAAATTCTGATTGGCTAAAGGGAGTTCATGAAGTACCTAAATTAGCTTATCTTATCTCTCAATCTTTTAAGAAAGAGTTTAGGAATGGAGCCAATTTTTTCAAGTCATTCATCATGATAAGCCTCATAGTGCCTTTTCCTTTCAGCTTTTCTTCTTTTTCCCCACAGATTGATCGTACTTGGAAGAGCTGCTGTGGCACTTAGGGGAGGTGGGAACTGATGGATGGAAGTCTTACCATGCACTGAAGGAAAGCATTGTCTGTGAAGTTCTGGTTTTTAAAATGTCTGCTTGTAACACCTTTACTGAACATGTTTGGAAACCTGGTGAATGCAAGAACTGCTTTAAACCTAAAAGCTTGCACCAGCTCCCCCCAGACCCTGAGAAGGCTCCTGTCACCCATGGCAATGGGAAAACTAATGCCAATCACAGTAACAACCACCACTTGAGGAATACCAGAAATTTCCGACCCCCTGTGGCTAAAAAACCCACTATAGCTGTGAAGCCCACAATGATGGTGGCAGACGGACAAAGTGTATGTGGTGAGCTTAGTATCCAAGAACCCTGTGAGAACAAGCCTGTCGTCACAGGGTGGAACCGAAACAGGACAGCCTTAAATCAGAAACCACTTAATAATAATAATGAAGACGATATTAAAAGATTTAGCCACGTTCCTAAGCCTTATGGTAATAATGATAGTGCAAAAAAGATATCAAATGACAATAATGGACTGACTGATGTGTTGAAGGAGATGGCAGGCTTGGATACCAGCCCTCCGGGAAGAGGAAATGAAGCCGACTCCAGAGAAACATTCTTAGGAAGAATAAATGATTGCTATAAGCGGTCGCTGGAAAGAAAGCTCCCGCCGAGTTGCATGGTGGGCGGGATGAGAGAAACGCGGAGCAAGCACGTCACGCTGAGCGGGAGCGCGGAGGTGATCGGCAGCGAAGGGGGCCGGTTCTGTTACCCCGCATTCTCAAGTGGCGAAGACAGTGAGGACGATGTGCTTTTCAGGGACGCGGAGGAGGAGCGGGAGAGCTGGGACGAGAGTGATGAAGAGCTGCTGGCCATGGAGATTCGCATGAGAGGACAGCCTCGCTTTGCCGACTTCAGGGCAGACACCCTGTCTCCCGTTAGATTCTCTGTGGACAAAAAATGGAATACTGTCCCCTTGCGAAACAAGTCTCTGCAGAGAATCTGTGCTGTAGACTATGACGACAGTTATGACGAAATCCTAAATGAATATGAAGATAATTCTGTGGTTTCCTATGGACCAGGAAGCGTTCAGAGCATGGCGTCATCTGACTCCACATCGCCAGATTCTTCTTTAACGGAAGAATCACATTCTGAGACAGCTAGTAGTTTATCTCAGAAGATTTGTAATGGAGAAATATCACCTGGTAACCCAGGAGATTCCAAGAACATGAAGAAAAGTGAGCCCAATTATGAAAGTCTCTCTGGTAATAATCAGGAGAAGGACTCATCACAAGCACCCAAAAGCTCAGTAAAAGTTCCAGAGACTCACAAAACAGTCCTTGCTCTCCGATTAGAAGAGAAAGACGGCAAGATCGCTGTACAAACCGAGAACCAAGAAAGTAAAGCCTCCACAGATATTGCTGGGCAAGCAGTGACCATAAACCTCGTCCCTGTAGAAGAGCAAGCGAAGCCCTACAGAGTTGTGAACCTGGAACAGCCGCTGTGCAAGCCATACACTGTCGTGGACGTGTCAGCAGCCATGGCCAGTGAGCACCTGGAGGGCCCTGGTAATAGTCCCAAGACGAAAAGCTCATCTTCCACTCCAAACTCTCCAGTGATATCACCGGCATTGACATCAGGACAAATAAGCGCCCATTCCCAAAAATCCAGTGCAATCCGATATCAAGAAGTATGGACTTCCAGTACTAGTCCACGACAAAAGATGCCCAAGGTGGAATTAGTTAGTAGTGGAACTGGACCAAATGTCCCTCCAAGGACAAACTGTCACAAATCAGCACCTACTTCACCTACAACTACAAACATTTCCTCCAAAACCATCCCTGTTAAGTCACCTAATTTGTCTGAAATAAAATTTAATAGTTATAACAATGCTGGTATGCCACCTTTTCCAATTATCATTCATGATGAACCAACTTATGCTCGGAGTTCCAAAAATGCTATCAAAGTCCCCATTGTTATCAACCCAAATGCATATGACAATCTAGCCATTTATAAAAGTTTTCTTGGAACCAGTGGAGAACTCTCAGTGAAGGAGAAAACCACAAGTATGCTAAGTCATACTTACGAAGAGATAGAAACTGGAAACAAAGTGTCTGGTAACACCACTAGCCAGCCCACTGAATGTCCCCAAGCTAAAGGGTTTTCAAACAACACAGAGCATAAAAGGGGCTCGGTGGCTCAGAAGGTTCAGGAGTTTAACAGCTGTCTTAACAGAGGTCAGTCTTCACCACAGAGAAGCTATAGTTCGAGCCACAGCTCCCCAGCAAAGATCCAGAGACTCACCCAAGAACCTGTGGCCAAAACAGAAGGCACCCAGGAGTCTCAGATGATGAGCGGTAGCACCAGGGAGAAGGCGAGCACAGTGCTTTCTCAGATCGTGGCTTCTATCCAACCCCCACAGTCTCCTCCAGAAGTGCCCCAGTCTGGCCCTAAAGCTTCCGGTGTTGAAGAGCTTTATGCAGTTCCTCCAGATGTCAGTCCTGCCAAGAGTTCCCCACTCAGGCCCAAATCTCTCTTTACATCCCAGCCCAGCGGTGAGGCTGAAGCACCTGAGACCACAGAAAGTCCCACCACCAAAGTACAGAAAGATCTACTCACGAAACCAGTCACCACTGCTCCCTCCAAATCAGTGACTAGCCCCCAAAGTGAGCCGCCACCTCCCTTTCCCCCTCCACGTTCTACTTCCTCCCCGTACCATGCAGGTAACCTTTTGCAGAGGCATTTTGCCAACTGGACCAAGCCAACTAGCCCTACTAGGCCGACAGAAGCTGAATCCATCTCGCATTCTGAAAGTGGCCGGCGGGCAGCTGACGCAAAACCTAAACGCTGGATATCATTTAAAAGCTTTTTCCGCCGTCGGAAAACAGAAGAGGAAGACGACAAAGAGAAAGACCGAGAAAAAGGGAGACTGGTGGGCCTCGATGGCACAGTCATCCACATGCTGCCCCCTCCTCCAGTTCAGCGTCATCGCTGGTTCACAGAAGCAGAAGGGGAGTCCGGTGAGAAGCCGGCCATCGTCTTCATGTACAGGTGTGACCCTGCCCAGGGCCAGCCCAGTGTGGATCCAAGCAGCGCCAGGGCGGACCGGTCAACGGCCACGGAGAAGGATGGGACAGAGGACGCGTTATTGCAGGGCTCAGAGAAGAAGGGAAGGAGTCATTCTTCTCCATCACACATTCCTAAACAAACCCCCAGGTATGTGGAATAGGCTGCCAGAATGTGGGGGGGGGGGGGTAGCACATTTTCAGGTACTAAGTTTTTTCTATCTTCAAGATTACGTAAGAGCCATTTTTGTTTTTAAGTCTTTTTAAGTCACATCAGTAGCCATTATCCATCTTTATAACTGCATTCCAAGATTAGAATATTACTGAAGTTATCTTATTGCACTGAACAAGGTTGATGGCCCTGTTCTGCCTGCTGTATTCTGGTGAATGCCAAGGGACTTTAACAAAGAAAAGTAAGTCCATGCCACCTTAATAGCAATAAATAATATGTTGCCTTGAAATGCTCTGGTAGTGTGAGGAAGAAACAGGATCAAATGAATAAATGGTGGTGCACTTCTTACCCTCACTGTAGATGAAATAAAATTCTTCAAGCAATTCTTTTTTGTTTTCACCAGTGTTGTCTCTATATGAATTAGTACTTTATTTTAAGGCAATATGTATTTTTGTATTGCTCTCTCTTTCTGTCCTTCAGAATGTTGTGGAAAATGGAGGTTTTGGGGGAGGGCAAGCAGTTTATAGTTATTTAATATATGATGAAATGAGAAAGTTGGGTATTGAAATTGATATCCAATAATATAATTTTCAATCTAGCTAGACAGACTGTATTCCCACATCAGTTCTCTAGGCATTCGTTTTCTTTAATACTTTGATAACTGTTTATTGATCACCTACTCTGTATAAAGCATATCCCAAATATTTATCTCAAATTCTTCTAATAGCCCTGCAAATTGGTTGTATACTTGAGGAGAGGAAACTGAAAATCAGAGACATTAAGAAATTGGCCAGTTCACACTAGTAAATTGTCAGAGCCAGAATTCAAACCCAGCTCTGTCTCACTCTAAAGCTTATATTTTTCTTATCATGTTGCATTGCTTAATGAACACAAGCTCAAACAAAATTTTTGTATTTTCATTTGTCATCATTCACATAAGCATTTATGTTTAGGGAATGTAAGGATTGTTTTTGTATTATAAGCAAAATTAGTGAACGGCCAATAAAAACAAGGAACTACTCTCTCCAGTCTGGAACAACTGGGATGATTTCCTTATGTCCCCTGACATTTGTGTTCTTAGAGATCGGCCCTGAGTATTCCATCCATATGATTCTGAGTCTCCCTCCCTCTTGATTCTCAGTAAGCCTTCCATACCGGGCCTGGTCTTCTCTGCGTCAAAGACAGCAAGCTCTGGTGATAGCGCAAATTCTCTCACTAGTTTTTCTTTAGAGAAGTATAAATAACAATGAAGTGAACACTTAAGGCCTTCACTTTGTCTAGCAAAGTGCTAGGAAGTTTTATATGTATTTTCTTTTCTAAAAGAAGCCTTTCACATACCCCCAAATAGTTGTCAGAATACTAGCAAGTTCCTGTTTTCCTTAAACCCATGTAATAACAAAGCAAGTGGGATAGTGGTAATATATAATAGTCTTGTCATTCGTGGTTGAAAGTGGATGCTAGATACTGTAGTCCAGTAATAATAAAACCCATGCATTTCAGGTCACTCTTTTATTAAGAAAAGAAGTCATTTAAACAGTGCTTGGTGGGAATTACCTGAGGGAATGGCAGATAGTTCTTGGAGATCAATAAATGGCTTTACTCCTCGTTAAGTACGGCTGTGTTGTATTTATCTGCATCCTGGGAAGCAGAGCCAAGGAATGATTTGGTAATGAGACACTCTGCTTTGACTGCATGCCATTTGCGTGGGCTTGAGGACAGCCCAGGCCTTTGGCATGGCAGACCCCTTACTATAGTACACAGCTTATAGTTCCATAAATTTGATTGTACATGGGCCAGTATTACTTTCCAAAACTTACCAGTTCTTTATCGGGCACATCTATGAATCCAAATGATGCAATTAGTTTGCCCCATTGGTTCTTAAATTTAACTGTGCATCACAGTAACTGGAGCGCTGTTAAAACACAGATTGCTGGGACCTACCCTCAGAATTTCTGGTTCAGTAGGTCTGAGGTGGGTCCTGAGAATTTACAGTTCTAACAAGTCCCCAGGTGATATGCTGATTCTATTGATCCTGGGCCACCTTTGAGAACAGCTGATCTTACCACCATAAATCTAAAGCCATAGTCTAAGTAAATATTAAAGCACACTGGAGTTTTCATATTTCATAATGTCCCAGACTAAGTAGAAAAAGAGGTATTAAATTTTTTTTTTTAACTTTTTTGGAAAGTTTAAAACATGAATACTCAGTTGAAAAATATACACTATTTGCTTTTTCAGTAATTACCTCATTTGCTTGGATACACCATTGTTATTTACTCAAAGCAACTTTGAGAGGAAAAACATTACTGTCAAATGTCAGCATTTGTGTTTCCAACTTGATGGCAGTCTAATCATTGAATTTCATCCCAAAGCTGGGAACACACTACTGGAAGGAATGAAAAATGCTCTACTGAAGGCCAAATCCTATGTTCTAAAAGATGAGGAACTTTGTAGAACCTTTTGCTATGGATTGTTACTAAGTTCATTTATTCGACTGTTTAGGGGACATAAATTGAGTATCTTAACTTTGCCATGGGTGTGCCATAGGGCCGTATACGGGGAAAGATGATCACACTGCTCAAAGAATGGGCTCGGGTTTGCCTTCAGCTTTAGCTGTTAGTTGGGTCCTTAAGTGTATGGTGACTATAGTGATACGGATACCTATCACATAGAATTAACTTGAGAATTAACTTGAGAAAACATGTAAAAGACTTAGCACAGGGTCTGGATCATATTACATGCTTTAAAATGTTACTAGCCTGTCTGCCTTCTCAATGTGATAAATGCTAAAACAATATATGTGCAGAATGGTGCAGAGGCACACACACAAAAAAACAGTGATTCGATCAGCTTAAAAGAGACTTCTCAGAAATGAAATACAAACCATATCTTAAAAGGCAGATAAGATTTTGCGAGCTGGTTGGGGAAGACATCATAGGCAAAAACGACAACATATGCTCTCAGAGATGATGAGGGCAAACAGGCAGGACAGGTGGCTGGAAGAGGATAATGACTAGGCCAGTGGTTCTTCACGTGTGGTCCATGTAAGGTCAGATGGCGACCATGCAAACGCCACCATTTTCATAATAATATTAAGACATTCATCTTTTTTGCTGTGTAGACGTTTGGACTGCTAGGGCAAAAACACTAATGCGTAAAACTGCTTAACATCTTAGCACAGATCAGAGGCATGGCACCATAATGTACTAGTAGTTTGTGGTTGTTTTTTTTGTCAGTTTCACTCCAGAGTGACATTGATTAAGTCTTAAATTCTATTAAATCTCAGCCTTTGAGTATATATGACTGTTTAAAAATTATATGTGATGAAACGGGAAGTACAAATTGAGTATTTCTGCTGCATAACTAATTATGATGGTTGTCTCAAGGAAAAACACTTGTGAAATAGCTTGACATTCAAAATTTGAGTTACAAAGCTGAACTAGCCCCCTTTTTGATGGACCACCTTGAAAGAACAAGTGTCAGGCCCACTGTGGTTATTCGGACTTGGGTGTTTGGCAGGTATTTTCTTTAAATGAAAATAATGAACCTATTACTTCAAGGGAAAAAAGAACTGACAGTATTTATTGTCACGATAATATTCAAGTTTCAAGAAAAAACAAGAATTTTCTAAAACTTCTATCTCCTACTATGACCTTGCCCTCTCTTGAGTTTGGTGGTGGTATTTATTGTATTAGCAAAAAAATATATATATATATACATATTTTAATATTACATGATGAAATGTGTCAACATTTAGAAGATCTTCATTTTCAGTGAACCAGTAATTTAATTCCAAGTAAACAAGTGTATATTATAAAATTATGCATGAATAAAAGATCCATTGAAACTGCAAGTTAAACCAATGGATTTTATTTTAAGTGAGTACAAAAAGGTCATTAATACAGCTTCAGATTACATATTGCAAGTAACATTTAAGAAACTATGGCTTGCTGAGTTCTAATATATTGCCAGAGAAGAGTATCTACAATTATCTAGAAGGTTGTTAATATACTCCTTCCTTTCCTCCCTACATACATGGATGAGAGCAGATTTTTTTCATATACTTTAATCAAAACAACATATCACAACACATTGAATGCAGAGGTACATAATGAGAATTCAACTGTCTTCAAATAAGCCCGATACTAAAGAGATTTGAAAAATACTATTTAGGTTAATAATTAAATGATTTATTATTTTTAGATGAATTAATATCTTCCTAAATTTTCTCAGTTTGAATTTATAATGTAATAAATGTCAATAGGTATAATCCACATGAACAGCCTTGTATTTATCAATTTTTAAGAGCATAACAGAATCCTAAGAACAAAAAGTTGGAGAACTGCTGTGACAGACTGAAGAGCCTTGCAGAATACTTAAATATTTGGCCTTCATCTCACAGATTTTGTAATAGAAAAGTTTTTAAGGGAGAAAGGAGTGTGATTTTTTTTTTAATAAAATATCTTCTGGATAAAGAATATATGCCAGAGGATTAAAGATGGCAGCATGAGAGGTGAGACAGAGGCTTCCTCCTAAAACCACATATAATATGAAAACATAATTAATGCAACTAATCCTGATAGAGCAACAGGAAAGAGGACTACACCAGACTACATACACGTGGAGAAAAGAGCAGACCTCACGGAACAAGGTAACGTACCAAAACTGTGGCCCGGCAGGACCCAAGCCCTTCCCCCACCCAGCTCATCAGTGGGAGAAAGAGAAACGGAGTGGGGAGGGAGTGGAGGCCTGGGACTGCTGAATACCCAACTCCGGAGATCTGTGCTGGGAGCACAAACCTACATCTCATGGAACTTTCATGATACCCTCGTGATTAGGGGATTGGAAAGCTAAGACAGGCAGAATTCCTAGAGAGACTGAGATTCCAGCTGCTTGTGGAAAGCAGGGATCCATATCCGGCTGCTCTGGGACAAAAGAAAGGTGGGCAGTGTGAGAGACTTCCTAACAAGGAGGCCCTTAGCAAGACGGCTGCTAAAGGGGCAAGGATCGCACAGAGCTTACTGCTCAGGAGAAAGGACAGGTAGACAAAATTGTCCGGGTG